TTGGAGGGAAAATATATTTTAATGCTTTTGTGTTCACTCAAAAAAGCATTGTGTTCCCCCGAGAAACTTTGCATTTTTATTCTTACCTCACATTATTTCTATCAAAAAAGTTTTGTGTGCAAAGTTCTTTCGTTCACAATACTTTTGCAAGTGAGTGCAGAAGTTTTGCAACGGAACGCAATAATTTTCCCCCCCTTCCATCTTTATTTATTTTTTTTACTGTCACCATGACCCTTGACATTTCCTTGAGCTTCTCTTTACCATAGATGATGTCCTCTATGTATGGGTTTTGATCAAGTTTTAAAAGACTAAACTAAATCTGTTCATCATATAAAGCGATCGTGTCTATTTACAAAACTTGGATTAAACCGCTTGATTCATATGAATTACTGTCACAACCTCTTTATGAACTTTTTGAAGCTTGAAAATGTTGGTTGTGTGGCCTTTCAATGAATAGACAAAAATTATGAGCGAATAATATCTTAATTTGTGTTTTGAAGATGAATGACAGTCTTATGGGTTTGACATGAGGATGATTAAATGAAAATTTTAAAGTCATCATGACCATGCTGTCAGTGTGAACAAGGCTTCACTGTTCTCTTAATTCTGAGTCAGATTTGTGGATCGGTGTCTGAGTCAGTCGTTTAAAACTTTTCTGACAAGTGGAGTTTCAAAACAATAACTTACCTGTTTGAGTCTGATTTGTGAGTATTTCTGACCGACTCAAAGTCATGAATCATTTGTTTGTGAATCAGACTACACTGGTCGTGCTGAATGATTGTTGTCATGTGCAACTCAATAGAAAGCCGTTTATTTATTGTCTTTATTTATTGCTTCTTTTTTATTACATGCAATTGAAAGTGGAAGGTCCACAAACGTTATTAAAAAAACATGAATTTTTTTGTAAAAAAAAAAAAAAAAAGATGTAAATCCAAAAAAGAATCAGTTCTTGATTCCCAATTCCACCCACTTCTGAAGAGGCTGAGGGTCAAGATCTGTATTTAGCTTCTTTTTAAAATCTATCATTTACTATTATTGCTGTAACCTTTTCTAACATTCAAATTAATGAGCATTAAACTGGCAAGGTTTTATAAAAGCTAGGTTTCCAGTAGCCTAAAGTAATGACTAAATAGTTATTTCGCTGTTGGTTAACATTAACTAGTCTGCACTGCTTAGGTGAACTAAAACAAAAAAAAAAAGAAGAAAATCATTCAGATGTGGAAAAAGTACATATATTTTAAATCATATACAAAAAGACCTGGAATATGTTTTATAAACGTAAATGGTCCATTTTGATTTCACATTGACTTTCAGAGATGCAGGGAAGCAGAAAACATGTAAAAGGAGAGTTTTATGGGAGGAACAAAGGAAAGAGAAATGTCACTACACATTGCTGTAAATCAATACGGTGAGGCTGGATCCGATTTTGGGCAGCCTTTAGAGACCAAACAACACTTGGATTAGACAAACAGACTGAAAACAGATCTATCATCAATCCTTATATTCCAGCAGGCAATCAGCTTTATAGAGAACGCTGTAATTGCGTACCACCGTATCAGCAGTGCTAGAGCGAGAACCGTAAGACAGAGGAATTTATCTTCTGTTACGTTCTCTCCCTCTTGCTCTATTTCTCTGTTTTCTTTCATGCACGCCCTCCCTCTCCTTCTCAAAACACACTGGCGGGCAACAGAGATCTGTGCTAGGCTCTGAGGGCCTCCACCCCCAAACACAACGAGAAATTAGCTTAAGTGAGAACCATTATAATTATCAGGTGATCATTAAGCGTAATTACTCCAGTCAACTTGGGCTCCCCCCTGGGAGACTTGAAAAAGAGGGAAAAGAGAGGAAGAAAGAAAGGCTCTGGGAGCGCTTTATGATCCAGGCATGAGAAGAAATGCCTAAAAAGACTGTAATTTCCACCATTTAGATAATATCCTCTAAGCTTGCTTTGGTCTCTGGCTGTAGATCTTTCTGCAGTTTCATTCTGAAACCTATTTCATCCAGCGACGGACTCAACGTTCACAACACTAATAAGACCATTAAAATCACTTTTTCAAGTGGTGCTTTCTTTGGCAAACATATTGCTCATCATAATTTGAACATCTAGGAACCTAAGCAACAATATAGCAACACATTAGCAACTGCACAACAACACCCTGGAAACCAGCTTCATTGGCATTGTGGAGGTGACTTCTGCATGACCAAGCATCATTCACAGTTTGGAGAACCCTCTTAATTTGAGACACTAAATAACCAATTAGCAACCACCTAGCAACACCTTAGCAACAGCACAACAACACCCTGGAAACTTCATACGCTTACCTAGCACTGTGAAGGTAATTTTTGCATGGGCAAGCATAACTCACAATTTTGGTGGACTCTGACTTAGACCAGTAAAAAAAACTAGCAATGCCTTAGCAACCACCTAGCAACACCACAGCATCACCCTGGAATCGCCCTACTTTAACCCAGCACCATTAAAGAAACCTTTGCATGGGCAAGCATTACTCACAACTTTAGGGGAATCTTTTGACTTGGACCAGTATATAGCAACATATCAATGCTCTAGCAAACACCTAGCAACAGCATAACAACACCCTGACAACCACCCACATCACTCTAGCATTGTGAAGGTGACTTCTGATGGGCAAGCACAACTTACATTATGGTGGGCTTTTTTGACTAAGTCCACACTCTAAAAAATGCTGGGTTAAATACAACCCAGTACTGGGTAAAATAGGGACAAACCCAGCAATTGGGCTGTTTTGACCCAGCGGTTGGGTTACTACCCAGAAGGTTGGGTTAAACATTTAACCCAACCGCTGGGTCAAAACAGCCTAATTGCTGGGTTTGTCCCCATTTTACCCAGCACTGGGTTGTATTTAACCCAGCATTTTTTAGAGTGCAGGAAAAAAACACCGAGAAACCACACAAACACCTTAGCAGTTGCAGTGCAATGACTACTGCAACTTAAACACTGTAGCAGAGTGGCAGTGAGTTCTATTCATATTTTCTTCAGACAATGTTCAAATGTAGTTCTATTTTTTTATTGTGTCAAACAAAGAGCGATTGACGTAGGATCTGGGCACCAGCAGAGACACAAAGAGATGTGACAGATTGAACAGGGGAACACAGGCGCACTGATCAAAAAGACAGCTTCTGAAACAATGCCAATACAAAGACCGAAAACAAACGACAGGAGAGAGAAAAGGATCCAATCTGCGTGCGACAGTTGAGGTTGCAGTCGCAATACACTTGTCACTCGAGGAGGTTAACAAGCAAATGAAGGAAGAGATGCTCCTGTCACCATGTCTGGAATTGTGTGTGAAGTTCAAATGGAATATTTAAATCTGGAAATGAGGCTGCATGGAATATGTGGCTTCCATTGGTATTCCAGATGCTGGTTGTATAAACGTTTCTTTCCAAAAGATGGTTTTGAAATTGACCGGCCATTCTTATGATGCTTACCTTGTTAGACTTTCAATCCCACAACACTGACATTCTCAAAAAAGCTCTAAATATCTGTGAGTGAGGCCTTGGATTCTTGTTAACCTGGCTGACCTTTGTCAGACTAGGCCAAATGACCAATCTGGTCGAACTGCCATATTCATGAAGAGTTGTAACCGCTTCAAAACCTTTCATTGAGCAATAATGGAGGTCACTGTGCTCCTGTGAACCTTTAATACCATCACTTTTTTTACACTGGCATCCACATTTATACACTGACACAACTCTGTATCAGAGGCTTATGGAGAGATATTTGAATCTGGTGCAGGTTTTGCTCTGTCATGCACTGTGAACTCTGGGACTTTTTTATAGACTTTTGCCCGAAGGCAGCTGTGCTACTGCCCAGTTTCATGCATGAGAACACCTCCTGAGGAAACTGGTTTAATTCAGGCACCTCACCTCACCATCAGACCTGCACACACAGGAATGTGGTAAATCGCAGGCTAAAAAATGCTGCCAGGTAAGAAGGCAGCCAGGCATGTCTGAATCCAATTTTTGCATAACATCCCATCTACTAAGATGCTTTCATCTAGTTGGCTTTTGAAGGCAGAATATATGTATTCCTTCTTTGATATCCCATATCTGTGCACAAGGCTTGGCGGCTGGCGGAAAGAATAAAAATGTCATCTTAAGGAGTAAAATGATTTCTAAATTCCCAATGTTTCAACATATGATGCAATTTCAACTTAGAAATAACATTTTAGAGATTAAATATTTTCTTGGTTATGTTTAAAACTTCCTTGAATTTGTTCTAGATCAGCGGTTTCAACCGCGAGGGGTGGCCTCAGCAAAAAGAGGGCTGCAGCATGACTTTAAATGATTTCAATTGTCATTATTAACATTTATTAATAATAATATAATTCATATATTAAAACAATCTAACTTCATTAAAAGGATATAAAGAAGATGTAAACTGAAATCAAATTTGTTTCGATAAGATCCTTAGACATGATATTAAGGTGCCTTGTAAGCCTGAGGTAGTTTCATCAGGAACTCAATTTTAATATCATAGAAAAGGTCCTGATTACTTATGCAAATAAGACATTTTAATTTTTAATACAGGTCTACAAACAGTTATGAATCAAAACTAATAGAACAATATGTCCTAGACAGATGAGACAAATGTAGAGCCGCTTGGCCACAATGACAGACATGTGGAGACCAAAAAGTGCTTTGACTGCTTTGATAAAAAAAGACAGTAGCAGCAACTGTAAAGTGTGCTGGTGGAAGCTTTATTGTTTTGGGGTTATTTTCTGCCTCAGGCCCTGTCAGCTTGGCATCATAGGGTAAACCACGAATCCCCACGTTGTACCAGAGGACTAATCCACATGAGACAGTCTGTCAAAAAGCTAAAGCTGAAATGTAGACATGTACAAAGCAGACCATGCAATAAAATAACTCAAAACCCTCAAGCAAAACCACAAAAATAGTCTCAAAAAAGATTAAATGCTGGGCTATCGATTGAAATCCAAGACCTCAACCTCATAGAAGTGGTGTGGGGGGACTTGAAACAGACTGTACATATAAAAAAGCACAAAGTCAAGAGTTCTGCATGGAATATAAAGCAGTGATTTGTTAATGTAGGGCACAGATACACTTAAAACTCCTACAACAAGCCACTTCTGCCACAAGTACATTGGAGCAGGTATTTTTCCACAGAAGACTATTACATCTCACTTCTTTTTACTCTGTTTTGAATTCTTACTTGTTGTTCAGGGTGCATTTCTCTACTTTAACACCTAAGTTTTACACCTAAAGAAATCCATGGCTCTTTTGAAAAATATGATCAAAACGATACAAGCTCCTACGAGATGAAGACTCCAGTCATATAAGTGACCTAGAAACAGTTTTAAAGAGTGGTTCCATGTTAAGATCACATTAACAACTGAGTACTATTCACTATATCACAGTTCATCCCATCATTAGACTCTTTTAAAGGTGAATCATGAGTGACAAATACACCTATTTTGCTATTGCTTTTCCATGGCCCTGCATCTGGTGTCTGTATAAAGACCAATGTTCTATCAGACAATGAAAAGAAAAAAAAAAGAAAGAAATGAAAGAAAGAAATACTAAGTGCACCACTAAGAATAGATATCCAAATATGTACATATATATTTTTTTCCAAACCTATGTCCCAAAATGATGGATCTTAACAGTAATAACGAATGGGTTTAAGAAAAACTAATTTAGCATGGATACGAGAGTGGCTTCTTCTGAACCACCACATCTACTGAAATATTCAGTGAATTGTATTAAGTTTTCATGCACATGTAATTTCTCTTCAATCATTTTTTGAGAGTGCATGAGAGCTATGAATAAAATGATACTGAGCTAAAAACAATTCAAGCGTCGTTTCTCTGGCTTTGGCAAAATGATTACAGCTCTGAAGCTTTTGAACCCAGGAAAAACTGTTTTACCTGACACCTGTGCCACTCTCCAAATGGAGCGAGAACACTGATCGCAGAGTCGTTCATCATTTTAAAACGGAGCAGAAGCAACCATGCATACAGGCTAGAGCCCTGCACGGGCCTCAAATATAGGCCCTAGCTCGGCCCTGGCCCGAGCCCGTCTTTTTTTTCCCCTTCTCCCAAAACAGCTTATACTACTGTTTCAGCTATATTAAAATAGTTCAGTTTTGTATGTAATGTCAAAGTGATTATATTTCGTTTCGTTTTTTTATTAAGTTAATTTAGAAAAACGTTTGGAGCATTTCTTTGTTCGTTAAATGTAAGTTTTTGTTTTTTAAAGTAACGACCAAGCGGCCAGCGGCAGACAGTGAGTTGATCATAGCCTATGTTTGATCAATTGACTTGCTATTGGTTAAATCTATAGATATAAAACAGTTCAAGCATATTACAATGTTAGTTTAAATGTTTTACCTATATAAATGTGCGCTATTAGATGCATATCTAATCGTTTGTGCGGAGAGCTAAAGCGCGCTTTACAGGACATGGAGGAGCCGGCGTGATCACTTGCATTGGAAACTGTGACGAGAGGGGCGGGGCCGAGAGCCGTGGGAATGGAGCGCTTTTATCCTTCCGGAGCTCCACCGTGGGACTCGAGACCGGTGAGTGGCGCAGGTGTCGTGCATTAGCATTTACTCCACCGGCCTTGCTCTGTTCCCATGGTTCTCGGCCCCGCCCCTCTCATCACAGAAACAACTTCAAATATGCCGTAATTATTGTTCATAAAGGTAAGAGTAATACATCACGCGGAACTGTAAAGGGTCTACTTTTATTTGTGTGCACTCACAATATCAACAAAGCGTTGTGCTTTTATAAAATAAAGGATACATACAGGATGTGCTTTCTGCAATTTCGGCCAGGAGCGCTTCACAATGATGAACCGAAACTCAGCGAATACTTGCCTCAAAAACTTGCTAAATATATCTATAGAAAGCTTTAAAATTACTACTTTAAAACGAAATAATAATTCGAATCAAAAACAAAAATTCTTTTTACGGATTTTATACAATCCGTAAAGATGCATTTCTCAGGATCAGGATCGTCGTCTTCATCTTTGCGACACGGACTCAGAAAACACTAATTTATTAATAAATAATTCAAATATCTCATTATTTCCCCCCCGACACATTCAAGGTAATTACTTTTGTTGGGGCTTTGCGGCACGCTTTAGCCTATTGCGTGCGTTTTTTGCTGTCATGTGCAAGGATATGTTTGCAGATTCTGTACCGCCCATGACCAATTGACTCACTGTTTGCCGTGGTAATCAAATCAAGACTCTTCCAAAATACAGCTTTTCTGAAGCATAGGGAACTTTTAGTAACTCCCCACGCTCCAACTTCTCCCTGATGCTCTGCATGGTCAACTGTCACCTATATGCTAATGCGTGTGTATGTGCGTTGCGTAGGCTATATCGGGACCCGACGGGCTTGCAGACCTCTAATACAGGCTACACCTGCTGTCCACACTCACTCTCATTTACCCTTTATTATATCTGTACCTTATAGTTCTCAAGGGGAAATAAATCATAAAATTACTTTTTATTTTGCTCACCTTGCAGCTGTTCAATGAGGGTCCATGCCATTCTGGAGCCCTGGGCGTCAAACACCACATGACCCTGAAAGAGAACGGAAACATTTTTATACTGCTGTGTCTATCGCTCTCTTAAATGTTAGTATAGTATTATCTATATGGTATTCATTGAATTAACTTTTATTTTTATGTTTTCAGTTTTCATTTTAATTTTAGTTTAAAATGAGATTTTTATTGGTTCTTATTTTTGTAATATTTCTATTTTATTATTTTATTTTTATAATATTTCTATTTATCTTTTTTTTCAGTTTTAGATTTAGTAATTTTACCACACACACGTCTCTTATTTCAGTTAACTAAAATGTTTTTTTGTTGTAGATTTAATTTACAATAACAACATTAGTTAGCATATTAGTTTTACTGTGGTATCACAATTGTGTATCACTGAGTATCATTAAATGTATAGGTACTGACTACTGAACCTTTATGTAGTCAAAGATGTCACTCACCGAAACCCCCTCGAAGGAGCTGGTGTTGAGGGCTCGGTAGATCTCCGCAGTAATGTCCTTGTTATTGTAATTAAAATCTTCCAATCTCCGTCCCTTCGCCTTCAAAGGCCCCACTGTCTTATTGAGAGCCAGAGCCAGGGCCCAAACTGCATCATACGCCAGAGGAGCTTCTTGAAACCCTCCGGTTTCCTCAGGATTCTTCCCACCCAGTTTGGACATCAGCTGTGCTAGAAACTCCTGTGAGGTCTGGATCAAAAGAGAGGTTGTACGGTATCATCTGGCATGCATATGAAAGCATACGCACCTGGAATAAACTTAGTGCGCTAACAAGAGCTTATGCTTGATGGATTTTAAGCATGGCTTCACTGTCGCTACAAAAGCACAGAACTGAAAAAAGTGCCAGACTTCTGACAGCAAAAATGCGAGAGAGGGGTCAAGGTAAGTTACAATACATTTCATTACCGTGGGAGTGCATCATATAGACGGAGGTACTTTTCTCCTGTGTGTGAAATCTTCATTCACACACACCAGGACCTGAAGCGCCAAAAATAAACTCCCGCTTTCACACACACTCTGAAGATGTTCCATGTCATTAAGGGGGTACTGGGAAAATAAATAGAGTTGGCACGCTCTTATTGCGGCGGCATATGAAAACCGATTTCCTTGACATTTTTCACACCTTATAGAAACAGCTGAGGCACCTTCCTCACTTCAAACAGGTGCGTTTTAGGAAATGAGCCAAGCTGCAGATGGGCATCTGGTGATTGCTTGATGCAAATGGACAGTGGAGAAAGTGTGCGCATGTGTGCGGATAGAAACTGCGTGTCAAGAAGCATTTTGGCTCTCTTAAAATTACACCCTCAAAGTGAGGGACGGTAAAGCGAGGATGAGGGGAACAAATTATGGTGATGCTGAGCCAATTTAGCATGGCCATCTTATCACAAATTGGCCTGTCCAACATGACAGTTTTTTTTTTTACGTCAGATGTGAAGCATAGGTGTCTGGATACATGCCCAGATTGCTCCGGATCCAGGAAAACAGCAGGGACATATGCGTCGAGCCCATTCCCAGCACAGAGCACCGGAGTTGGGTGGGCTCCAGACAGCACCCCCTGGAGCTCACACCTGTCCATCCAGCTCTCCCAGGGGGACAGCAGTTGGACCTGAGCGCACTGACCCCTACGTGACTCTTCGGGTTTTCAGATCTGAGAATAGCGCATACACATCTAAAGATATGACGGTAGGTTAAGGGCTATTCTCAGTGGGGAAATGGAGTTAGTTAACTAATGGAGTTAGTTAAGCAGAATGAAGCTTGTGTACGCCGTGCTAATCTGATGAAGATGTTATTGAAAAGCGCGCAGCATATGGGAACATACGGGGCACTGGTGGACAGTCATTATGGGTTTTTCAATGGCCGATGAGGGCATGTGGAGAGCAGGGTGGCTGATGGCCAACAGACACAGAATATACAGTAATTCACTGATTCCAAATAAGAGAAAATACAGAAATACAGAAAAAGCTGAAACACTTATTCTACACAATATTAACTAATAACGATTTTTTTTAAGAAGTATTTCTTGTGACTGTAAGCATGTTGCTGTGCAGCTGCTAGGGGGTTCTTAATGTATTCTATGCAGTTAAGGTGTTTTTAGTGGTGGAGTGGAATGTAAAAGCTAGTCTGTTGCTATATGATTTCTTTAATATTTCTGGACTGTATAGACAATTTACAGACTTTGTATGAGGTTTGTTTGGAGCTTCAAAATCCAGTTGCTAGGTGGTTGCTTACTATCTCAAGTCAAAAAAGCCCACCCAACTGTTAATATATATATATATATATATATATATATATACACACACATATATATACAATATATTATATTATATTCTGCTCTATAGATAGATATGGCTTGAGTTCCTTTGGAAGTCTGGTTCTGCCATGGGATTAAAAAAAAAAAGGTATTTGCAACTTTTTATTTCACAATTCTGACTTTTTCCTCACAATTCTGAGTTTATATCTCACAATTAAAAAAAAAAAAGTAAAAATTATATTCCACAAATCTGACATTTTCCTACAACTGCAAATGTATATATCACAATTCTGACTTTATAACTTTATAAATTCGAAATTATAAAATATAAACTCACAATTCTGACTTGAATTGAGATACCATTCTAGTCCACAGCACAAATGCAGCACAGTCTGGGCCTGGCCACGGAACACAAACTGAGAAATTGTTATAATTAGGAATCAGGAAAAAAAAGATTATTCAGGCCCACTCACCAGGTTAGAGGCCCCTCGCACTGTCTCCGGATTGAGCATGACTATCTCAGTGGTCACATGACCCTCCACAGCTTCTGTCATCTGCTCCACAGTGCAGTTGATGGATGGGTCTTTGATTTTGAACCAGTTGTCAGCATACCAGCCAATCAGAAACCACACATACTTTTTCCCATACAGCTTCTCCTTATAGACCTGCAGTTGGGTTGTGTGAAACAGGTCGGCTTAGGGAATGAAAAATGAACAGAAACACCATGTTTCCCCTTTGACATTGAAAAAGATTAATAATGCTCAGCTGGATGGCTGATTACTGACCTCACAAAACACTTTCCTGGCTTCCGTTTCGTAAAACAGTCCCACAATGATGCGAGCATCTTGCCGCTGCAGGAGCAGAGCGAGAATTGATGATTAGAATAAAGAAATGAATGCAACAATTTGCAATAGTCAGTGAATTAGCATCAGAGGGAGGTTCCTTTGAGTATTTGAGAGTGCTACTATGCATAACGCTGCAGTAATTTTGGTTTGGACAAGCAGTCCAATCAGTGGTACTTTCCCCTCTCAGCGGTGTGCTATATTCCTCTGGTGGTGCTCCATTAATCTTGTGCACCAAAACTAGGGCAGCACACATGGCAGGCCTTTGCTAAACAGGCAGCCAGGGGCCCAGCCGTCACTAGAGATAGCAGGATGAGGAGGCGGTAGGGCTGGGGGGAAACAGATCATCTGACCCATGTTCCAATTAAAATGATTCTCCTCAAGAACGAGATCAGATCTCCACACTGTTGTATTTTACTCCCGGACTTCAATGATGTCCTTTGGCATGACAGACCCAGAGATAGCAATAAAGGTGTGTGTGTGTCTGTTTTTGGGGGAATCTTAAAAGCAACAAAAACCTAAATAAATAAATTTTGCTTAAAGAAAACACAGTTTCCTAAACACATTTCCCCCAAATATTCATACAGTTGAAATTTAGCTATAAGCTAAGACTGTAAAATACATAAATACATTTAGTGAATCGTCCCTGTACAAATAAACAAACAAAAAAATAACAAAAATATTTTGTTATACTAGTATTTGTTGTTTAAATAAATCAAATCACTATATGACATACTATGTTGTTATTTAATATTAAAGAATATATATTTTTTGTTTAAGTTTTGTTTGTTTATGTTTATTACTTATTTATAAAAAAAACGTAATATTTTTGAGGAGGCAGGTTATAAATTTATAGGTGTTAATATTTATTGGGGAATAAATGTTGTCTTATGTATTAAAAAAAATCATTGTATTATGGCATTACTATAATAGGTCAAGGTCAAGGTCAGTTTATTTATATAGCACATTTAAAAACAGCTAGTGTATGCCAACGTGCTGTACATATACAAATAAAGTAAATATAGAGATTAAGAGAATAAAAAGAAATGACTCAAAAACACATAATCAATACAAAAACACATTAACATATATTTCATCCAAAAGCCAAGGAATACAGATAAGTCTTCAGGCGGGATTTAAAAACAGGAAGGGAAGGCGCAGATCTAATGTCCAGAGGTATGCTGTTCCATAGTCGAGGACCGGCTACAGAAAAAGCCCGATCCCCCTTAAATTTCAAGCGAGAGCGAGGTATATCTGTTTTTCAAAATTCAGATCAGTGTCAAAAATCACACCTAAGCTTTTAGCAAAAGGATGAATGTTTGATGACATAGAATCTAGATAAATAGTGATATCAGAGACAGCACCTGGGGGTCCAAAGACAACAATCTCGGTTTTGCTCTCATTTAGTTGGAGAAAGTTTCTGCCAGTCCAGCCTTTAATATCTTCAAAGCAATTAAAAAGGTCAGAATAAGAGTGATCAGAGTTGAGAGGAATGTAGATCTGAGTATCGTCAGCATAACAATGATATGAAATATTATATTTCCTCATGATCGAACCCAAGGGGAGCATATACAAACAAAATAAGACAGGCCCCAAGAGGGACCCCTGAGGTACCCCATAGGTGAGCGGTGCAGAAGGAGAGGACGAGTGTCCAATCATCACCTTAGCTGATCTATCGGAGAGGTATGATGAGAACCAATCCAGTGCCGTGCCCCTAATGCCAACTTCATCCCTTAGACGATTAAGAAGGGTAGCATGATCAACTGAATCAAATGCAGAACTAAGATCAAGTAGCATTAAAATAGCAGATTTACCGGAGTCCAAAGCAAGGAGTAGATCGTTCGGCACCTTCAGCAGTGCAGACTCGGTGCTATGGTCGGCTCTAAAACCAGACTGAAATTTATCTAAAATATTGTTTTGTGAGACAAATGAAGATAACTGATTTAAAACAATTTTCTCTCAATTTTCTCAAAATAGGGTTGGTTGTGTCTAAATTTGGCTTCTTAAGAAGAGACGTGATCACTGCTTGTTTGAGGCATATAGGAACACCGCCACTGTCTAAGGATCTGTTTATAATAGCCAGTACACTAGGGCTGATAGTATCCAGGACCTCTCTAAAGAGCTGGGTGGGGATAACACCAACAGGAGAAGTGGTAGGCTTAATCTTGTGAACTCTATCGCCAAGCTCAGAAAGGGATATTGGTTCAAACCGTTCAAAAAAAGCATGACAAGTGAGTGGTTCAGAGGGGTCATGACTGCACATTGTAACAGTAGACCGTATGGCGTCCACCTTTCCCATAAAAGAATGTAGGAATGCTGCACAGGTCTCTGGAGTACTGTCCAGACCAGAAGTGTTTAGCAGGAGAAAAAAAAAAAAAATAGTATTTAACGTATTAAACAGAATTTTTGGATTGTGTGAATTTTTAGATATTAATTCAGAAAGATATTCAGTTTTTGCAAAGAGTGTTTTTCCAAGAGTTCATAAGACACTTGCAGTTTGTCTTTCTTCCATTTGCGCTCAGCTTTCTGACATTCCTGTCTGAGAACTCGTATATTACTATTTATCCAAGGTTCTGACCTTCGTTTGGGTTTTGAAACTTTAAAAGGAGCAACAGAATCTAAAACACAAGAGCAGGCATTATTAAAAATAGTTATCATCTCTTCTATTACAAGATCTGAGTCAGGAAGTTTTAACACACTTTCAGACAGAGAAGAGAAGGCCTCAGAGAAAAGACTGTCTGTATCAGAGGTGACAACATGAGAAACAGACCGTGAGGAAAATGATACTGTAATACTATAGAATAATAATTAAAAAAAAATACAACTTAAACATCTGGAAGTGTGTCATGCAAATAATGCCACGATCTTAAAAACAGGCTTAAAAACTATGACCTAATTATGCGTTAATATAATTTTTTTGGTTTTATTCATCTGATTTTGTGGTGAAATGTGACCTTGGACGTGTTTTCGTGAGATTTCATCTATTATGGAAAAAGTTTTATTCAATGATAAGCAGCTCTACTAAAGACAGTAGGGGCAGTTCAATGTTGATTCAGTTCAGTTCAATAACAGTATCAATGCTGCAATATTCATCAATTCTGAACAAATTCGATTCAGCTATAAAGCGGAAGACAATAGTGCCATTATTTAGCTCAGTTCAGTTTTGTTTTGTTCTCATCCAATAGTGTCAATGCAGTCAAACTGATGATATTACTAAATATTAAGTGTATGTTTGGCATCTGTCTGAGAATTGTGCGATTCTCTAATGCGGCACTGACAGCAACACCTGTACTCCGCCATGGCAGTGAGGTCATAAACGAAATGAGTAAAAGTGAAAGCACCTTGAGGTTCTTGACGGCCACAGCAGGATCCGTGAGGAAACTTTGCCTCACGCTGATCTCAATGCCTGCCTCCTTCACCCTCTGCTCTAGATCATCCAGAGTCTGAGAAAGACAGAGAAAGAACGAGATTAAAGGAGAACAGAGAAAGAGAGCGAGGGAAAGTAAAGAGCATAGAGATGAGAAAAACATCTGCAGATAGACGGGAGGTGAAAAAGCAAGAGACGGGAAAGTATATTATTGCGGCAGAAAGGCAGAGATAAGACAAGCATGGAGAAAGAAAATGAGGGAAGAAAGAAAATTAGAAAGAGACTGGCAGATTACATTTATTTTGTTGGGACTTGTTTACTGTTTACTGTCCTGCGTGTACCAATAAAACAAGCGTGTAAATTTTAATACAGTCTGTATAACCTCAGGCTGCAGGAGGAAACAAAGAAACTGAGCCGAGATACAGCCCACAATCCCACATCCAAGATGTTGTCTTCTACAGCACACAGATTCATTTTACCTACATAGATAGCATACAAAACAACATGCTATACCCTGAAGTAAAGCAAGTGCTTCTCAAACCCTCAGTTACGTAAAATATAGCCTGTCTGAGTTGCATGACTATATATCTAGACATCAGGCATTCACTGCATAGTGTTTTACAAGGATGGTGTCTGTCCACACTAGAAGAAAAAATACTGTGTGTAATGCGATAAAATCTAGCCAAGATGTTAACCTAAATCAAAATAGATCCTTTCTTGTCAAAAGAAAATGCTATAATCAGATCACATTAGCCAGAAGTAGGGCGGTTTCAATGTGTGGTGGGTTTCAATTTGATTCAAAAACTGTTTTTTGCTCATTCAGAATGATTTAATTTGATTTGATACACAATTTCATTTATCTGAATCAATTACAAAAATATTTGGTTCATTTAATAACCACTCAATTTGTTTATATGCATGTATAGGATTCTTTAAAGACCCCCTGTGGTCTTTAAAGAAATCAGTTTCTGGTTCAAACATATATGACTGAATTAATCTAATATTGCCACTTGCCATTGTGTAGCGTTTATTACTTTAGGTAACCGAGTGCAAGTGGAGTAGGTCCAAGCTGATGCGACTAAATGGAGGCGGGGACTAATTTGCATATTCATATTAATTCGCCTATACCAGGGTTAGGCAAGTTCGGTTCTAGAGAGCCACAGTCCGGCAGAGTTCAGCTCCAACCCTAATCAAACACACCTGAACAAGCTAATCAATGTCTTCAGGATTAATAAGTGAGTTTTTTTGAGCAATATCAACTGACTTTAAACTTAAATGTTTTCTGCACAAAAATTCACCAATTGAACAATGATACAAGTAACATTTTTTATCTTAGAGAAAATAATGCAGAAGTTTCCATGCAATGAAAGCATTTTATTTCAGTTGAGGTCATGTAAATAAGGTGGCAGCTGTGAAATATGATCAGAAGCCTTGAAAAGCTGTTTGGAAAAAAATTCAGGGAGTTACGGATGAAACAGAGAGTGTATGCACCCATGGCGCTCAAGAACATTGCTCCACTGTCAATATTAAAGGTCACCTATTATGCAAAATATAGTTTTACATGGTGTTTGAACATAAATATGTGTTGGCAGTGTGTACACAACCACCCTATAATGACAAAAATACTCCCACTAATTTTTTTTTAATCCCCATAAATCATAAGCAGTGTCTCAGAACAAACCGTTTGCAGAAACTCTACAAAGTGACGCCACATTTTACTGGCCCCGCTCACAACTGTTGACGGACACTGCCCTGTTAGCATAGATCCCGCCCTGAGTGAGCTGCACACCATCCACCAAGTTTATCTTCACGCTAGAGCATTTAAAAGCAACATTCAAGTAAGTAATGTCTTATTAAAGCTACATAAGTTATTCAGTCAAGAGCAGTGAGTGATTTTCTGTTTTTATTTTATTGCTTGGGTCATATAACAGTGTAGACAGCAGTAGGTACTATATATTACGCTGCTGTTACTTAATATATAGATCTACTATAAACATGTGATTTCTTTCCCAGCTGTTTATGTTCACAGACATAACCGACTGTGTTTATGTAATTTACGTGTGTGTTTGACAAACTTATGTGTATTTGTCAGTTTAAGCGCTATAAGACATGAAAGAGAACTTAGTTTAGTACTCACATTCTGTGTGACAGCCGCTTTCTGTGCGCATGCTTCGGATGTGTGCGCTCAGAAAACCCTTTATCAGAAGTTTGCACTGATATGGCTTTAAAACGCATGCAAATACACTTTCGGCACGATACACATGATAATCTAAACCAAACAGATGTTATCCGAGGCACAAGCTGTAAAGGCTCAGCCCTATTCTGGAAAGGGGGAGCTGGAACTTCACAGACACATTCTGGGGACAACTGAGACTTGTAAAAAAAGGGCATAATAGGTGCGCTTTAAATGCAACAATTACATTTATTTAATACGTGCTTATTTTATATATTGTACAGTACTACTTTAATACATTATGATTCCTACAACTGTTTTAGCATTTTCGATTGATTATTGGCCAACTAAATCAATTCACGATTTAAAAGTCATATTTTAGGTCAAGATCGATGTAAATGGATTTTGCAATAAGAAACGGTGAATCGTTTCCAAAGAAGAAAATGTTGTCATAATGTAACATTAAAATGCAATAATCCAGCTCTGAAACAATTTTCTATTTTTTGCTGACATCATAAAGGCTGCCTATTTTTTCAACCACAATAATAAGTGCAAACTCTGAAATGAAATGCCGACCTGTCATGATCCAGTGAATTTTCATTGGAAGAAATAAAGTCATGCCCTACATTTTTGTCCTCACTGAATCTGCTGATCACTTGGAAATACACTTACATTTAAAATTAGTCACATTATAGAAGTTAACTGGGTTTTGAAAGTCATTTCATGCTTTAATAACACTTGCATAACTGTATGCATACATATGTGGAGCAGGACTTTGGACCAATGGGGTTTAAGTGTGGGCGGGGCTACCCAACACAAGGGACAATAAACATGTGACCAACACAATACGCAGCTGGTTAGGACATGGTGTTACACCTCCTCCTGAACACTGATCAAAAGACAATGAATTTCTACTGGTTGTGCAACAGTCCGCAAGCTTTTCGGTGCATGATTACTGATTTTAAAACATCTGTACTTGTAAACATCTCACTCACAGAGGTGAAGACTTCGGTGGTCTGCTGGATGGTGGCGATCTTGGTCCACTTCCACTTCTGGAAGAGCTGCACGCGGGTGGGGTTGTGCAATGTGGCTGAGGGGTGCGTGCGGAAGAAGGTGGGGAAACGCTGACGGTTGGAGAGTGCTGGTGAACTGGATCCATAGGATAACTGCAAGCAAATATCAATGGTTCATGAGAAATAAGCACTAGAAATACATTCACACATACCCACAGTACAGACACTGAGACCTTCGAAGGAAAATTAGAAACAAGCTAGTGAAGAAAAATGTGCGATAAAATCACCTGTAGGAAAACCAGTACCCAAGGGACTAAATTATCTCCTGTTAGGTTGATCACAGTTCACTCGGAACAGCTTTATTTAACATCGGGGGATGTAGTGTGTGAGACAAGTGTGCAAAGCTGTGATAAAAAGTTAAAATCCGAAACACAGGTGTAAAATGAAAGAAAAAAAGAGGTTTAAAATTTCCTGTTTTATGTTAATCAAGCAGTCAAATCAGATGACAGCAGAGGGTTTATAAATATTTTGCCAATAACTCAATGTCATTCACAGATGCGGTGAGATGCGGTTGAGTGACAGGTCTGCTGAGGGGGTGGGTTTCAAGGCCAGCAGGGGGATATATAGGTCAAAACTCATATGTGAAGAGAAAAAGCTCTCAACAGATATAAAAATAGAGCAGAGCATGAAAAATAAAGAGACTGATAAAAAAAAAAAAAAGAAAAATGGAAGACGAGGCAGTGGGAGTGCACTTCAAAGACGAGCCAAAAGCAAAATAAAATGACAAATATCTGATCCAAAATGTCTAGAAGCCATTTCACTGATTTTGGGTATTTGAACGAAGTGCCGCATGTTCTGAAATGGGAATGCATTTAGATAGCTCATCGTCACTGTGGTATAACCTTTTCAGTGATTAGACCTGTTGGAGAGTTCAGTTTGTGATGTACAGAATCATACAGAAGCCATAAAAACTAAATGCTGGTGAATATGGGTATGTTCACCTCTTTAGTGTTTTTTTTTTTTATCTGTGTCAAATTATCATGTCAGTTTAGTGTGATTAATTCTAAACACATAATATGTGTTTTTTAAGTATTGTAATTAATTCTGCCCTCTGTTGAGTACATATAATTCATATAAATCCTGTCAGATCGGCCTCTTTACCTCAGAAGGACTGACAAACTCAACTTAATGAATCGCTGTGGATCGTAAGTCAGTGATTGGCTTAAGTTCAATAAAATGAGATTTAAAAAAAAACTACGTTTTCATTTTTCACAATAATGCATTCTTTCAAGAAAAAAAATCTTACTGACCCCAAACGTTTGAATGGTAGTGTACTGTATATGTTTTTAGGTATAATTTTATACATTTATGCATGCATTCACATAATCTCCAAGAGTTCAAATAATGAACAAACACGTATTCTAAATTAAAAGAAACTCTTAAACTGGCATTTCCCAAAACAAACGAAAGTGGGACACACTATAATTAATTTCACTTTCGTTTGTCTTGTGTATTTTCTCTATATCCTTGCAACAAACAATCCTTGTTGAAATCTGTGCATTCACATCCGTTTATACTCATCTTTTGGGATTAAACCTATAACTTTTTGGATCCTTGATATTTAACCGCTAGCCTGAATCACCTCATTTCTACAGTACCTAAATGTACTGTATAAACTATATCAAATCAAATTGCTTTCACTCCCGTCTGAAATTTTTTGTGGATGCCTGAACAATCCAATGTTTGTTGCAGAAAAAGAACATTTTGTCATCACTTTCATAAACCTTGAGTTTTTCCTCTCATCTGTGAACATTCAAAGCGAATGAGATCTGATGAAGAGGAGAACTCACCACTATGAGGTTCCACATGCGCGCAGCTTCGGCCACCAGTGTGGACACAGAGCTGCAACCTGGCATCAGGAGGATCTTTATGGGCTCCGTGTACAGCAGGTCATACAGCAGCTTTGTGGCCTCACCGGGATCACACTGAAAGCAGAGAGAAAAACACTTAAATACATAATCTATATTCAGATTTGAAGCACAGCTGTCACTATTCATGAGGCATCCTGTCACTCCATGCTCAAAACTGCACACCTCGACAAAAAAATAAATAAAAAATTCACTGTATTTGCTGCTACAGTATATGGAAAGAGACTTCATTTCATACTGAATCACTTAAGTAGAGATAAATCTGCATGGAAAAGCAGAACAAAAAGGAGCAGACACAGATAAAGCAATAAATACATACTGTACAGAAAATAGCCTCCAAGGACACATGCATTTGCTCACACAGACCAAAAAAAAACTGTTTGATTGCTAAACGTGGATTCTCATCAGTCTTTAACCCAACGTTGACAATCAGCACACCCCCCATTTGTCTTAAAATTACTGTCAATGAAAAATCAATATCTCATTTAAATGATAAAAGTAGGTTAAAGCCACAATTGATCATGTGTTGAGAGCAAACCGAGTTGCAGCCAGTGGCCTTGAGCACAGCCAGCATTTCTAAAGCTGGGCTTTTGTTGTTTTGGGAACAAAGAAAAGCTTAAACAGGAGCAAAAGCTAAAAAGAATAAAAACAAACATGAGTTTAACATGATTCATGGCTTGATTGGTGCAATCACGTAAATTCAATTGGCAGAACCCTGTGGCGGCTGACTGCTCCTTACTTATTGGAGTCTAATCTTGCTTCCTTACCCCGACACATCTCTATTTCTGTCTCTCCCGATGCTTTTAATTTCTTCTAAACATCCTGCTAAATTACTCCAATTGCAACAACAGAAGCATTTTAGCGTAAAACTGCTTTTCTTTTCAGAATGACAATGATTTCCTATGAAAAGCATGTGTAACGAATCAGTCCACTGGAGGCGAGCGTAGTGAGAACCCAAGTGCAGTTTTATTTACGGTGAAATCCAAAATCCAAACATAACCCAAACAAGATACACAGACTTGACGAGGCATGAACAGACTTGACATTAACAGACTTGACTCACCGACAGCGGGTTACAACATCAATACACGACAAGAGACAATGGTAACATGAGGGCTACTTATACCAAACACTAGCAGCCCACACGCTCAAAATGGCGACCGCCATTACAGTAAGGGCGGCAGAGTGTGGCATGACCTCTAAGGTGGCGGGGCTTGAGACCGCTGACGTCACTGGGATGCCTGCAGCTCGCACCGACATCAGAGGTGGGTCCATCACACTAGCAATCAAACCTTTCAGTCTTGGCCCAAGCCAGGCGTGGCGGCCATCTTGGCCCGGGGACCCAGGCTTAACGTGAGCAGACTCTGAAATGGCAGCAATGTCGTGACGAGACTCTGGAAGATCAGTTGAGACGTGATGAGACTCTAGAAGGGCGGCCATTTTGTGAAGAGACTCTTGTGTGGCGGCCATCTTGCAATGAAGCTCTTCAATGGCGGCCATATTGTGAAGAATCTCCTGAGTAACCAGCATGATGTGAGCAGGCTCTGGCTTGGCAGGTGTGACGTGAGCAGGCCCTTCAATATAACATTCCAGTGACCAACAAATAGTTACCCCTGGCAAACTTGAACGAAGGGGTTCATCGACACCAAAAAGAAAAATTTCTTTGAGGGTCACGTCATTAAAATCCACCTGGTGACAAAGTCCACAAAAGTCCTCCACGTAATCCTCTATGGCCCGGTTTCCTTGACGAAGGCAGAGGAGGCGTGAAACTGCTGGGTTCATTGTGGGGCTCGTGTATTCTTTAACGAATCAGTCCACTGAAGGCGAGCGTAGTGAAGAACCCAAGTGCAGTTTATTAAATCCAAACATAATCCAAACAAGATACACAGACTTGACGAGGCATACACAGACTTGACTTGACATTAACAGACTTGACGTGGCATGAACAGACTTGACTCACCGACAGCGGGTTACAACATCAATACACGACAAGAGACAATGGTAACATGAGGGCTACTTATACCAAACACTAAGGTTCACATGACAAGAATCAACCAATGGGAAACAAGACACATGACTAAGACAACCAATCAGACCATGACACAATGAACAGAGGAACCAATGGCATGAATACATGAGGGCAAGGGAAGCATGACACAAACAGCAGGAAACAATTACAAAATAAAAGACATGGAAAACATGAAAATGACAAAACCCAAACACCACATTACAACTGTTCATAATAGATTTATAAACAGGTAAGATTTCAAAACATTAATCTCAATTCAATATTTCATATCCCCGTGTTTATATATTATTATAGGTAAACAAAAAAAAATCTGTGTAATAAGTTAACTATGAATATACAATACATTATCTAAAAGACATGGAAAACATGAACATGACAAAACCCAAACACCACATTACAGCATGAAATTAATGTGACACTCCACACAGTTATGTGAGAGAGTTTCATCAGCTGTCTCTATTGTGGACACATGCATTCACATTCTTTTTAATAAAGTAAATAAAATGAGCATGATTGTACATAATGTTTTCAGGCATGTCCTCCAGAGTCCTGAGCAGACTCTCTCCAGACTCCCTGGGGGTCGTCAGCAGAATCGTATCCCCAGAACGGAGACTTTGTTTGGGCTTTAAATCTCCTCCCTGCTCTGACTTTCCAATCCTGAGGGAAGCCATGCGTGAGCCTCGCTCTTTTAAAGCACCTGGGTTCCACCAAATCAAAACAACTGCAAAAACTGAATTCTAATTTTTCTGAAAAAAAAAAAAAAAAAAAAAAAGATTATCCTGAAGATAGGAGGAACATTTCCTTATTTAACGATAGATTTGACTGATCATATAAGGTTCTAACTACACAGAAAACAAAACACATTTATTTAATTAAAATACAAATTGTTACTACAAAACTATTTTGTGATCTTTAAATTATACTAATATAATTTCTCATCTAATTAGCATTAATACACATTAATCAAAAGTGGCAGTAAAGACTTTTATAATGTTACAAAAGATTTCTATTTCAAATAAATGCTGTTCTTTTAAACTTTCTATTCATCCAAGAATCCTGAAAAATGTATCAGTTCCTGCTAAAATATGAAGCAGCACAACAGTTTTCAACATTGATAATAATCAGAAATGTTTCTTGAACAGCAAATCAGCACATTAGAATGATTTCTGATGGATCACTGTGACACTGAAGACTGGAGTAATGATGCTGAAAATTCAGCTTTAAATTGCAGAAATAAATTAAATTTTATAATATATTCAAATAGAAAACAGCCATTTTAAATTGTAATAATATTTAACAAATTATAATAAATGCAGTCTTAGTAAGCAGAAGAGACTTATGAATATCTTACGATAGTGTATAATTATTAATTAACATTATCCAAACATCCAATTAGTGAGTGAGTGAAATGTTAACTGCTCTGGTGGATTCAGCAGATTCAGTTCAGTAGACTGATGCAAACTTGTATCTGATTTCATTAGTCTTTTTGACCGATTCATAAAAAGAAGTGAATTATAATATTCGGTATGTTTATTTCTGCATGCAGTCACAGTGAAGACAACACAATAGAAAGACAGTTTCCCAGTGAGCTAAAACAATTTTCTTTGCCATGGTGCTGTAGAATAGAAGTGCAGCAAATACTAGTATAATAGCATATAGGGACTAGGGATGCTTTACCTAATTCACTAAATATGAATAAAGCTTAACAAATTAAAACATTTTGTCTCTGATTTTGTACACTCATTCTTGTGAGCTGGAGGACAAGAAAGGATTGAAAAACTAGTTTAATGACACACTCTTTAGGAAACTTAATTGCCTAATTAAAAGCACATAAAATGATCAGGATACTTACAATATTTGCATAAAATTAAACAATATAGCATTCCTGCAGCTTACAACAGCAGCACAAAGTCATGGGTTTGATTCCTAGGGAATGCATGAACCAATAAAATGTGTACTTTGAATCCAATGCATGTTACTATGAGTAACATGTAATGCCAGTAATGTCCACCCTATTTCACACTAGTGTTACTTTCGTTAACAAAAACCATGATACATGATCAAAAAAAATTGATTGACAACCTTTTTCCATGAATGAGATGACACCAACATCATTAAACATTAACTGTAATTATCTCAGCATGCAATATCATTGAAGAACAAAGTCGAAGTAAAATATAGATTAAAAATTAAAAACTCTCTATATACAAAATCTCTTTATATTTTCTTCAACATAAAAGAGAAGAAAAAATTTTGACCTCTGCGAGTTTTCATGCTTGAGGTTGCCAGATGTCAAGAACTGAAATCCCCCCATCAGAGCTTTTCTCCAAAAAGGACACATTTTCTGGCCAGCGTTTACTTTCAATCTAGCAACCATGCGCATGGTCTCTCTACACTGTGGAAAAAGTGATGAATTGTGATGAACTGAAATCCTTGACAAAATGTTGGAGTTGGTGATATCCATCGTGATAATCTGCTCAACCTTGGTGCCACAATATAAAGTCTTTTTTGTTGTTGTTGTTGTTTTAATAGGAAAACAAGAATATCTTTTGGAATTATTGAAATTAATATTAGGATTTTCAGTGTTTTTGGTTTTTGAGAGAAGCTTCTGAGTTTTACTAGTTTTCATAATGTAGAGATTGTGTTCATTTATATGATAATTTAATAAATCAGGAAACTAGATGAGGTCAAATAAACCATGTGTATGAGTCAACATTCTCTTTATTTGTGCTTATAGGTGAAAGTGCAGTATTTATGATGAAATTTCTCAAATGACAACAATCATGATCAGTAATCACAATCATAATTTTGAGCAAAATAATTGTGATTATCAGTTTAAGCATTATGCAGCATGACTAAAATTAAACATTTTCATTGACTAAAACTAGAAGTAAAATTCCCAGACTTTTAGTCAACTAAAACTTGTCTAAACAAAAACAGAATAGGCTGACAAAATATGTGACCCTGGACCAGTCGTATACATAGCTGAATAAATAAGCTTTGCATTGATGTATGGTTTGTTAGGACAGGACAATATTTGGCCGAGACACAACTATTTGAAAATCTGGAATCTGAGGGTGCAAAAAACTCTAAATATTGAGAAAATCGCCTTTAAAGTTGTCCAAATGAAGTTCTTAGCAATGCATATTACTAATCAAAAATTAAGTTTTAATATATTTACAGTAGGAAATTTACAAAATATCTTTATGGAACATGATCTTTACTTAATATCCTAATGATTTTTGGCATAAAAGAAAAATCAATAATTTTTATTGCTACAAATTGCTACTAATATACCCCAGCGACTTAAGACTGGTTTTGTGCTCCAGGGTCACATATGATAAAAACTAAAAAGGGCATTTGAGACAGGCCCAAACTAAATTAAAAAACAACTGACAAAATGAACACTATGGCCCCTTTTCACAGATTATGTGTTTTTTTTTCTTCTTTCTTTTACTATTGGAGTAAACGGGAATGTAAAAATATATTTGTTTTAGTTTCTGTTCACTTCTCTACAGGTCCAGTCCATACTAATAAGCATGCCCCCCTCGTACCATCCCCGTCACCCTGCGGAGAGCACCGTCCTCCGCTCCAATCAAGAACGGCCCAGAACTACACTGGGCGCAGGTTTAATGAGACTGTTCTTTGTGTGGCTCAGGAGGGAACATCTGGGTCTGAATACCTAAAACCCAACTCAGATGAAATGTTCCAGTTCGCCTTATACCTCCTGATGACACAGCGCTTTCCTGCTCTCTAAATGTAGCTGTCCGTGGTGCTGAATCCTAATCAGACGCGGCTCTCTGCATGAGAGTGTTTCTGTGTGCATGTATTCATTCGGATCCGCAGGGGTCCCGATTACATCCACCTACCGCTGGGGATCAGAAACGATGCTCTCAATATGTCCGAGTGCAGACGGAAGAACAGGATTTCATACGTCTATAGTCTCACACCAGCCGCCTAATTTCTCCCATTTATCCATCTGCCTCTGTTTATGCAATAATCATAAATGGCTGTGCTTTTTTCTCTCTTTTGTCAGAGCAATTTGTGGCCTTATGTGTTTGTTTGAACAGCAGTGGTCTTGGTAACTGTTGTCATGCCAACCTCCACCCCCAGTCTTTCCTCCTTCTCCTGTATCTTTGAAGCAGGGGTTCCAATGCAGACTCGGTCCGACCAATCATGGAGAAGCTTTTAGCAACACTGAACAGTCACAGGGAATTAACTGTTTGCACTCTGCATGTATCTGTATGCGTTTTCTGTCTAAAACTCTGGCTTGCACTCTGCATATGTGTGTGCGAGAGGCAGTATGCATTGGCATCTCTTGTGCGGGGGAGGAGGGACGCAGGTGGGAAAGATGGAGAGAAGTAGAGGGAGAGCGAAGCAAATGGAAAGATACGAACAGGGAAAGCGGAAGGTATATTGGGCTGCTATGAATAGATTTTTGCCAGCAAACCTCAGGTGACAGCATAACTAATATGATGGTGTCAAAACATTCCTCTGTGCAGCTTTAATGAAGTCACACTGAATCAAGTACAAATTCCCATTTAAAGAACATTATGTTCATTAGGATCCACCAAACCCTTAATAGCATACTACAGCTGACCTAATCTGCTGTAGTAAAATGTAAATTTGCTCAGAAATCTCCTGTGAACACAAATCTTCAGCAAACCACTGATAATGACACGCCACACTGTTTGAATAAATAACATCAACAGCAAGTAAACACTCTTATGGAATGACTAGTTCGGTGCACACTCAATTGCATGCTATCAAACAGTTCACATAATGGAAAGTAATTAAAGAGGCTCACATGCAGTGCTCACTTACCATACTGTCATAGTAGATTAATTCAAGCTCATAATCCGGAAGAATATCCGTTCTCTTGTTCACCAGATCCAGGGCCATTTGGGCAGCAGGGAGACAAGCTTGGCCACCCGGCCATCCGCCGCTCATCGGGAACAGGGCTCCGATGTAGAGTTTCTTCTTGCCTAGAACCGGGCAGGACCAGGAGAACAGTATAGTAAGGGTGGCCAAAACAAAGTAGGAAGTTGATACCAAGTGCCGTCCTCTGCTGTGATGCTGCCAGGATAGTTTGGCCATAGTGGGCATGAGTGTGTGCCAACACAGTTTATGTTCTTGATGTTGTTTTACATGAAAGGCAAAGCTGGAGGTTTTTGACAAGAATTTTACTTTCATTAAAAAATATATATATATTGGACAGTGTAAATTTCAGTCTCCTTCAATGCTGAAATTATTCATTCAAAATCTCACGTGAATGTTGCACTGTCAATTACCCCGAACTCCTATAGATATTTAATATACCTTTAGATGCACTAAAATACACTTTTACATTTTCAACTTGGATGCGTTTAAGACAAAAACATAAACACAACATCGATGACGATTCAAAGGCATGTGGTTTTGATTCTTTTCTAATTAACGTAATAAATCTGCGGAGAGGAAATTAAAACTAAAACTATCAGCGTCGCGTTAACAAGGTCCGCATATTGAACTATTGCGCACGCTAGCGAGTGTTTACATGAACGCTTATAAAATGTACTGTTTCAAAGGTTCACCAAAGTTTTAAATAGCCGACATTAATGCAATTGACATTAAAAGTTAATGTGACGTTACAAACAGTCTAAAGGTGCGGTTTAAAATTTAACAGAGTACATTTACGCAAAATAACGTTAACGAGCGGAAGCGCTAAAACAATAACAATCTGTCGTAGTCTCAAGAGTTTTTCGTGCTGAAGTCTTATACTCACGCTTCTCCCGAACCCGGAACGAATAGAGCACAGAAATGAACGTTACATGTTTGTTTATGGAAAGCGCCGCGTTACAGACGATCCGCTGGAATCTGTGCGCATCTTTACACGATGCGAGACGGTGAATTCGGAGTGAAACCTGATTAGCGCGATATATCTTTGTGGCTGATCGGTATAAAATCCAGTACGGAATCAAAAGAAACGATAAACGAAGTCACGGCAGTAAGTGAGTGTGTTGTGTTCCTTGGATGCAGCAGGAGACTGAGAGAGAGAGAGAGAATGTGCTGGTTTATAGAGAGAGACAGCGAGCGCGCGCGCGAGAGAGAGAATGTGTATGTATGTGCGTGTGAGAGAGAGAAACCGTGAGAGAAAGAGAGCTAGAAAGGTGTGTGTGTGTGTGTGAGAGAGAGAGAGAGAGAGTCATAGATGTGTGGGGCTCATTTTCCTTCTCCGTTTCACAGAGCACTTTGAATTTGCAATCCCTTAACACAACCACTCTGGTTTATTACCCACCCGTCTCCCCACCTCCCCGCCAACTACACCCAAACCATCGCATCCACATTTTTCTTTCTCTCACAGTCTGTTCCTCAGAACCTAATTACAAACGCATTTTAATTTAATCAAGGTGGGCCATGATAGTACCCTATATTTAATAACGTCTTCCTTCCTGCAATTGCATCCTTACATTTTCAGTCACAGTTTAGTCTGATTTCATGTCACTCACTTTTTGTTGTTGTTTTCCAATCAATATAAGGATTGAATGTATCCTGAACCATTCTAGACAGAACCTGCTATACACTACATTATGAATCACACGCTTCGTTCCTCTCTAACACACACCTTCATCTCCACTGCACCATCTATTTCCAAACTCCCAGCCACCGCTCACACTAATCCTGCACCTTGCAGCAGATACATTGTGGTATAAACAGGATCCATAGAGGACTGACTACATGTGCTCGACTGTAGTCTTCAATAATGTACCTCCAAACTGATGGGCTGACACCGATCCTTCGCTTCCTCTAACTCTCTTCCTCACCTCCCCCCGAACCCAATGTTTTTCCTCCGAGCTGAGTGCTATTTTTCTACACGTTCAGTGGTTTCGGTAACACATTCGCCCTCTCACTAATCCTGAGAGTTGATGAGAATCGCTGCAGCGATCTATCTGTTTTCTCCTGCTCCGTTTATTCCCAGCACACTCTTGACTGATCTTGCAACTTCTCTTTCTGCAAAAGCAGTGCAAGCCTGGATACATCACATCGATACTCAAAGTTAGGGGTGACATGGGCCATGATCAAGCAGACTTTGAAATGAATAATGAAACTCCAGACAGAAACACGAGGTATCGCTTTCACTAGATGTCTTGGGAAATTCAGATTGTTACACCAATATATTTTCACTCACATTCTAGCACAAAGCTGATTAGCGATTCTAGAATCTACATGTTTTAAAACAACGAGTCATTTTTGTTGTTGTTGTTGTTGTTGTTGTTGTTAGGGAAGCACTTTAGGCTCAATGGAGATGCAATAGCTGCAGAGGTTTCAGGCCACATTTCTGTTTCTCTCGCACATAAACTGTTTCGATTTTCACATTCTCTCCTACATTAAAACCCACAGGCACTGGTTATATATCAGAGAACTGGTATTAGCTTAGCAGCTGCTGCAAGTGCCCTGGGGTTGTGCCACAGATGAAATACACCCCTGCATGTGTGGCGCATGCAGAGTGGCGATTAGCCTCCAGGGTGGTTCTAGCGCTCTAGAATCGTTTACCAAAAAGCCTATACATTCTAAAAGAAACCTCAGAACTTCGTGAAATTAGGTAAGAATATGCAACATATGATTCTAAACAAGCACAACAACTTTTATGGAGATTGGCCAATAGGTGGCACTATAACAGTTATGAAGGTATAAATTATATATTTCTGTGGTAAATTATTTGACATTGCTAAAATGGTGTTCTCTGAACATCTCTGAAACTTGGTCGAATTTTAGTACTTTTACTGAGATCTAAGGCAAAGGGACTCTTTATGGTCAAATGTGGCAGTGATCAATAAAAAAAATGCACAAAAGTCACAATAACTACTTGTCACTTACTCAAGTGTCTTATGTCATTGGAATCCTTGGATCACACAAAAACACAAACCTCCAATTTAATTTCTATCATTAAAATAATTCCAGCATATTGAATTTTTTGCAAAAACTACTTTTGTGAAATAGTCCTAGGTTTCTCGCCTGATCGCAAACAAACCAGTGCACCAGAAATCTCTACAGACGGAATATAAATAAACAAAAAACTCCGCAATGGTAGAACAAAACATTTGAATTAATCACCGCAATGGTACAACAAAACATTTGAATTAATCGCCGCAATGGTACAACAAAACATTTGAATTAATCGCCGCAATGGTACAACAAAACATTTGAAGTTTACTTAAGACTATAGAGTGAATGAGTTAGCGATAGTCTGGAAACACAGTCCATCAATATGTTGTTAACTCGCTTCTTCTTAAGCCAATTAACACTTTGATGATTCGTTTATCATTTCAATTATTCACAGTTGTTCTTATGAAAGGGATTCTGATCTAATTGGCATCGAGACGGATCAGTGATATTATCTGGAATTTTTATTTTGCTAAAATAGTTAAAATACATAAATATGCCACTGATAAAATGTCTATTATACTACAATTGCTTGCAAAACTTTGTCATTACTTTGTCAGATTACACAGGTATATTTGAATGTGAACTGGTCCATACTAACCAGCAAAAGCTTGACCTCTTGTTTGGTAATAGTACTGTATGATACAATGCGACTCACTTGACTTGACCTTGCTTTCCACCGCAATAACTGAGCTGGTGATGCCAGATGACAGTTAATAAACTAAATAATATTAGGGCTGTGTATTGATCAAATAAGTAATCAAACATGGCTGTCAAATATCTAATTGCAAAAATTGCAGCATTCCTTTAAAGGGGACATTGGATGCAAAATTCACTTTTACATGGTGTTTGCAAATAAACGTGTCTTAGCAGTATGTGGACACAACCACTCCACAATGATAAAAATATATTCACCCCTTTTTTTAATCCCCCCAAAAACCTAAACAGTTTCAATTATCAAGCCGTTTTGATTTTCTGAGCAGTATGATGTCATAATGCTCAGGCCCCGCCCACGGCCACTGATGGACTGTCCCGTATTAGCATATTTCTGCCCTCAGGCAGTTGTACACTGTCCACTATTTTCTCCATGCTCGAGCAGCTGTAGCGACAACAGTCTCGTAAGCAATGCAGGTGTTTTGAGGTTGGATGTAAAAGTGAACATAAGAGGATGCAGTGGATTAGTTTTTCATGGTAATGCGCCAAAAAAAATAGAAGAGAGGTTTGGGGTGAGCAGTATCACATTATCATTTAAAGAGACATGCGCCGAAACGGGTCGCTGTGAGCAGAGCTGTTTTTGACAAGGTAAAAAGGGTATTGTTTTAAACGACACTGAGGAATTTTAACCAAAGTATGTTGCAGACATTTCATGCAGACCCTAAAGAATCATACCAACTTGTGGAAAATGGGCATCTGATTTCCCCTTGAATGTATTTCAATTGAATCCAACGTTTCTATTTAAAACTGGTTTTATTTTAAAAGACTTCTAAGAGAAAACCTGAATTGAAGTGCACGATTCATATCGATAAATTTTACAGTATCTTTATGAACAGTAATCTATTGGGTTTCATTTGTGTTTGAAGACGAACAAATGTTTTAATGGTTTGGAACATCGTTATGATTCACTAAAAAGAACTGGTTAATTAGAGTCATCGGAATACACTGATCGTGCTGCATGTTTTTGATTAATAACTGGCTGTTAAGAGTCATTCGTTCAGGAATTGTATTACACTGGTTTATGTTGTACCTAATGGTTTTTGAACGTCGTGATGGTGAATAAATGATGACAAAATTTTCACTAAAACCTTGAGGATGTTTTCAAAAGTCCAGAACCCAGTCAGTGATTTTGCTGTACAGACCAGTAATCAAAATTAAAATATCATAGTTCAAAATGAAGAGAAATTACCACAATTTTTGTCATTTCTGTCAGGACCACTATCGTCAAAGATGATTGACAATTAGCATACAGTTTGGATTTGGTATGGTTCTGTTCTGGGCAAGAACTCCCTGCGCATCCATGGAGCCTAGCATGGATAAGAGCAGGGAGAGCAGCGATAACCCCCTA